TTCTGTGGTATTTTGTAATTTTTTGTGATTTCGTAATCATTTTCTTATTTTTATTCCAATACTATCTCTTGCCAGCTTATTTTCCCTTGCCATCTCAATTACTTATTAGCCGACCAAGTATTATTTCCACCTACATGCGGTGAGAATAATACTCGGCTGGCTTTAATAAATAATTTAATATTTTAACCTTCAAAACATATTAGGCATAAGAAAACTTATAGAAGCAAAACAAAACGTAAATTAGTCGCTGAATCTTACTGTACATTTGAAGAAGACTGATTTCCAGTCGGCGTCCAGTAGTTTTTTCGTAGCGGATGGAAAAGCAAATTTGGTAACATCGGATGAATGGGACGGAGAAATGATGGGCCTGAGCTTTGCCTTGAATATTCCCAAAAGTGAATCGCTTGACTCAAGTGATACCACGTATTAACTGCGACAGAGCATACAGTCACGCTGTTATTCTGAGCAGAACACACGCTTGTTCGTAGTCACTGGTTTTTATGCGTTTTTACACATATCCAAATTGCGAAAACGCATATTAGGAAGAGCCTGCCTGTGTGTTGTGCGTGTGTGTGTGTGTATGTGTGTGTTCGAACTCTTTGTCACCCACCTTCAACTCGAAAACCAGAAAAATTAGAAGACGGGAACTTTGGAGTACATGCCCATACCGTGCGCGACCTTCCCTTTTTAATTTCATCCCCCGCGGACGCCTGGGTGCCGGGTATGGACGCTTTAAAAAAAAAATATGCAAATTTTCTGGCGAAAAAGCAATCTTGGAAATCACACGAGTTTGGGGGCTGAAACTTTGTAAGAACATTCCCTGTACATGTACTAGCTAAACATTTCAAATTCAACTCCCAGGTATGCGTGGTACGCACGCAAAGGTGTATGAAAGTTTTGATGGGAAAATTGCTAAGCTAGAAAGTTGAAATTTTGGGGGGATGTTCCGTATCCAGGTACAACTCAAGTCTTTCAAATTCAGCCCCAAGCTACTCGTGAAACTCACGTAAGGGCGTACGAAAGCTTCTGCGGGAAAATTAGTAATTCGGCAACTAAAAAAGCTAGAAAACTAAAGTTTTAGGCGGATGTTCCCTGTTCAAGTACAACTCAAGCATTTCAAATTCAGCCTCAAGCTATGCGTGGTTCTTACGTACGGGCACTAAAAATTTTTGGTGGAAAAATTTCTCACTGAACAGCTAGGTTATTTTTAAAGAACGATCGTGAATGGAAATTGCACATTTATTTTATGCAAGATTTATAGTGATTTACGCTAGTGACTGCAAAAGCTAGGTGTAAAGCAACAACCATTCATGCAGTTAATGATCTGATTACTTCAAGTCCGGTGCAAAAACGCATGATCGCACGGGCTCGCCCGGTTGCGTTCCAGCCTGGGTTTCCATCTATGCAACGCAGTCAATAGGGGCAAGCATCAGGCTGGACGCTGTGATCACGCGT